CCTTTGTTATGTGTAGATCACAACTATATCCGTATATATATATATATATATATATATATATATATATATATATATATATATATCTATACATACATATATGTATTTAATATATATATATATACATATATATATGTATGTATATATATGTATATATATATATATATATACGTATACATATATATATTAAATATTAATTAAATATGTTTTTCATTTCTAATTAAATTAAATAAACAAATATTTCTTAGATTATTTATTGATTATTGGTTACGGACAACCTTCGGTCTCCACAGATAATTATTAACATTTCCATACGTTATTCCTGCTCTAATGTTTTTTGTTTGTTGGTTCGTTTTTGTTTTTTTTTTAATTATAGACAGGCTGTATGCGTTGGAGACGCCGACAGCGGTGGGAATTGCTTTTGCTCCCTTGGTACTCGGAGCTTTTTTGACGGGAGCCTTGTGGTTCATCTACTCACACACAGGTAAGACCTTCCCTCCTCCCCCAGGCCGCTTTCTTGCTTTTGAATGTTTCGGAAGCTTCAGAGCTAATATTCAAAGTACAATGACTGAAGACAAGCTGAAAATCCCCTCTCATTGCCAGTCTCCCATCCAGAGGAAATGGGCTTCGAGGAGTTCAGTGAGTTTGCTGCTGCACAGTGCTAGTCTGTTTTCTTTGGCCTCAGGGTCTACTGTTGTCCCTTAAGCCCCTGCCCCCTAATCACAGATTTCTTATTCATTGTGGAGACATCTTCGCCAAACATGGTTGAATTAAAACAGTACTGTGTGTCTAAAATGTAACCAAGGCAACATTCCTACATGACTTTTTGCTCTGGTACTTATTCTTCCCTGATAAATTATAAGCGACACTTGGTATCACCACAAATGCGTACCCCAGCAAAGTATGCAGATTGCTCTCCTGCATCCTCCCCTAACCCTAACCCCACAGTGCAGCCAACCTGCTCCGTAGTCTCGTCAACTTCCGCATTAATACCTGGAATTCACCTCTGCTCGGCTTACCCTCAAAAATCTCTCCATAAACTCACCTGCCGGTATCATAACACAAACCATCTCGCTCGCTTAGATCCTCTTTATCCCATCACCATTTGGACCTTCCTTCGTGTTCTTTTTGAAACTCACACTCCAAACCTTTGCTGTTCAAGCTTCTTCAAACCTTCAAACTTCTTTGGCTCATTTTCCATTCCCTTTATCCATCAATCAATCCATCCATCCATCCATCATCCTCCTGGGGACCGGGTCGTGGGGGTGACAGTTGGAGACAGTTGTTTATAAAAACCTTGAACCTTGAACCTAGAACCTCTTCTCAGGTGACAGAGCTCCTCACCCTATCTCTAAGGGATCGCCCTGCCACCCGTCAAAGAAAGCTCATTTCGGCCCCTTGTATCCGGGATCTTTTTCCTTCAGTCGTGACCCAAAGTTCAAAAGGGGCAGTGGTGGCTTAGTGGTTACTTGGGTCCGGAAGGCTTCAGGGTCGAGTCCAACAGCTGCCAAGTTACCACTGAGGTGCTCTGAGCATGGCACAGTCCCCACACTCTGCTCCCCGGGCGCTTAAAGCTGCCCACTGTTCACTTTGGTGATGGGTTAAAAGCAGAGGTGACATTTGGTTGTGTGCAGTGGTGAGCTGTGTCACAATGGCAAGTAATAGTTCACTTTCCTTCACTTTCCTTCATGACCATAGGTGAGTGTAGGAACGTAGATGAAAAATCACTTTCGGCTCAGCTCCTTCCTCACTAGTGATGTGCGGATCATTCCTGAAATATCGATACTTCCGATTCTGGATTGTTATGCTCTGAAATCGATTCTGAAATCCAAATATCGATACTTTTGATACTTACGCATTCTGAGATGAGGTGTATCCTAAACAGAAACATGGTGAAAAGTATCCAAATTATTGAGATTTTGAGTAAGTGACGCTCGGTTGGTGGGACTACTTCTTCTTCCGCCTGGGTGTGTGCGTCATGCTTAAGCACAGGGGCTCTACTCCGTGCTCTCACTCAGTCACTATTGATGGGAATTTCGGCTCTTTTTTGGAGAACCGGTTCTTTTGGCTCGGTTCACTGAAAAAATCCGACTCTTTCGGGTCCCAAATGGCTCCTCAGATTATTTATTTTATTTTTTTATTTATTTTTGTTTTACAAATAACATGTTTTCAGAGTTTGAAACATTGTTTTGACATATTTTATATGATTGTGTTCTCAAGGTTTTCTATTGTTGTGTTGACTGTATAGTAAATGAGGCAGCTACCTCAGTACACTCCAGAGTTTAAAATAAATAAATAAATAAAAACCTCAGCCTCGGATTCTTAAAGAAGCTATGATTTGAAATACACATGTTTTATTTAAAAGACAAATGATAAAATATCGATATCGGTATCTGCGATACCAGCCCGAATTTTACTCGGTATCGGATCGGAAAGGAAATTGGTGGTATCGAACATCACTACTGTTAAGTTTCTGTATTATTTATGTTCCACAAGTATATCAGGGGAGAGCGCGATTCTCAGGCGTCCACTGTCGAGGCTTACTGTATATGCAACACTGCCATCAAAACCTATTCTTATCATAGAAAATGACATTTTCATAGCTGTCCACTGTAGTGACCGTCATGCATGAAAGGGTTAAAGAAGCTATGATTTGAAATACACATTTTTTTTAAATTTAAAAGTCAAATGATAAAATATCGGTATCGATATCGGTATTGGGCGATACCAGCGAAATTGGTGGTATCGAACATCACTATTCCTCACCGCAACAGACACCGCATTCCCTTCAAATTTTTTGTTATTTATTCTACTCAATTGTTTCACTATATATATTTTTAATCACTAAATGCAAAGTGCTTTTAACCTTGTCTCCTTGTCCTTCCCAAGGAAATTGGTGGTATCGAACATCACTGTTCCTCACCGCAACAGACCGATACACCGCATTCCCTTCAAATTTTTTTTTCGGGTTTGCATCTTCTTCCCGTCCCAGAATTAGAGTATGAGGAAAAGTTGGCACAAGCCGTGCAGTACAGGAGCAAACAAAGGCGTATTATGAACCATCGGGTCACCTCGACCCAAAGGACTACACGAAAAAAAAAAAAATATTATTATTATTGTAGTGTTACAGAATGAAGCCTCTAACATGGTTATATGTTATATAACCTTTCATAATTCAAACACGATATCTATCACATCATAACAGTCCAGGGAACCAAGGAGTAAGACATCTTTTACCATGATCCCTTACTGTGGCTGTTCCGTTTTAAAATGTTCTGTGCTGAGAAGTTCAGGTATTACGTAAAAAAGTATATTTGACACAGAGCTTGATGCAGGGAGGGAAGGAAAGAGACTGCTGGCAGAAATGCTCTGGAAAAGATTAGCACCGAGAGGCCCCAGAAAGGGAGAATTGCCTGTGGTCACATGCTCATCATATACACAACTGCTAATAGAAACCATACGCCTCCTCTGTGGTAAATATGGAAAAGCTTTTTTTTTTTTTTTTTACTGTTTGATCCTTAAAGAAGCTTTTAATTAAAGCATACAAAGTTGATATTTGTGGTTGTGCCAAATTTTGATTTCAACACATATCTAGAGCCCGTGACCCGGTGACGGATAAGCGGATGAAAGTGGATGGATGGATGGAAGGATATCTAGAGCTCCTCAACATTTTAAAAGAAATCTCTTCATGACATTATACATAGATCGTTTGTTCTAGTATCTGAAAATGATGGCACCACGAAAGGCAAGCATTTTTGGAGTCAGAAGGTAGTTTTTTTTCCGTTTTCTTTCTGTGAAATCTAGTTGAGAAAAATACATTCCCTGTCAATTAGAAAAAGTGTTTTGTCTCCTTTGGTTTTCAGCGTCATCGTTCAGGCAGTATATGACTGAACTTTCCTTTAGTGGCATCTTTTTTAGTTGCAGCTGTTTTTAATCTGAATTCAAACAAGTGAGCAAACAGAGAAAACAAATCCTTCAGCACGGATGCGGCCCTGAAATGATGTATGTATGTTCACCATGTGCTTTCAATTACAGACCATGAATTTGTCTATTTATTTAAGCGAGTAAAATGTATGTGACGACAAACATCGAGTTTGATAAAGGGCAAGTTTCGCACATGAGAGTCATCGATGGCCATAAATCTGTAATAAATACAACGTTTACATTTTCGACATTTCTTTGCTTTTGGAAGCCAAAGGCTCGTCTTTTGTTTCCTTTGTTTGCTTTTTCCCCCCTTTCAGAGACGATCGCTAAAGATTTTGACATGTTTCTGACGTGTCAAAACAATTTTGTAATAAGCAATATAATATTGCGTAGTTTCAGAACTATAAGTCGCACTTTTTTTCCTTTTGGCTGGGTTTGCAACTTAACTATACTATACTTATACTATATAAATATATACTTATATATTAACGTTTTTAATTTCACATTTGTTTTTTTCACACTGACAGCCACTAGAGGGCACTCTAGGCATGTGTACGAAGTATCTGCTACTCCTGTCTCATGGAACATTTACGTTTGTTATTTTCACATTGACAGCCACTAGAGGGCACTCTCCCTGGCTGGTGCGACTTATACTACGGAGCAACTTATAGTCTGGAAAATATGGTAGTTGCTTTTTTTTCTCACAACTTCATGGTTTCTTTCTTACGATAAAAATGGACAGATGAAAAAACCCAACCCAAAGCGTTAAACTTTATACCTTTTACATATGGCTGCCTCAACTGTAGTGGTCAGACTTAGACTTATTCCTTCTGATGTTTTTTTAACAAACGCATGTCATACCGTCGTCAGTATAATCTGCTTTTCTTCTGACAAGTGAATATCAGATTTATTAGTCTCCAAAAAATGTCTTGATGTAACAGCAACTTTATTTACTTTCGGATTATTCTATCCCCTCCCACTCCCACTCCCACTCCCACTCCCACTCTCAATATCTATCTGTAATTCCAGGTGAAAAAACAGGCACGCAACAGGTCAACACATCTCAGCCGGCCTCGGAGAACAGCAGTGCCACCCACAGCATCGGCAGCACACAAAGCACACCGTGCTCTAGCAGTAGCACAGCCTAGCCAAGGGCTAGCCATCACTGCCATCAAGGTTGGAATGTTCCACTGGGAAAAGTTGTTTATTATATATAAATGCACACACGTATATATGTATGTATATATATATATATATATATATATATACACATATATATGTATATATATATATATA